CAGAAGAATGTCATCAACAAATAGGGTAATTGGAGCCACAAACAAGCTAACAAAGCTTACAGGACTCGGGGTCAAATGTGTCACCGACCCAACAGGCAGCATGACGGAGGCAAAAACAATGAGCGTCACCCTGAGACAAGGGGACAGAGCAACCCTCAAACTCGCAGAATGCGAGAGGGGACGCAGGGGTCACAGCCAGTGGACCCGAGTGCCCCCGCGGGGTTTTCCAGGGCCCCTAGACTGGGTCTGCTAAGGGTTATCCCAGGCAGGGTACTGCTAACCGGCGCCCCAAACTACCAAGCAAACTGCTAAAAGCTGAACTCACGGGACATGTCCACTCACGAGGGCGAAGCAGGGGGTGCCACCACACAAAACAACCCTAATATAAGGGGGAGGGGAACACAAGGCAGACCCTCCCCACCAGGCAAAAAGAAAAAGAAAAGAAAAACCTCGCAAAAGGACAACGTACCCAAAAAGAACAGAGCCAGCCGCTGTTAAAGGGGAAAACTATCTATTCAGTACCCCGCACCCCACCAATACAATAACTACCACTTACCCCAAGGCAACAAGGGTAGAAACCCACCCCCCACACACTCGGGGTGGCCAAATACCAGGCAGCAAAAGATCAACAGAGGTAGACCCAAGGCAACTTGTGGAAGGGAACCCCAAGCCCCAAGAGCAGTACTTACAGGGCACTCAGGGAAGGTGACCCTAAGCACATGCAGCCCGAGTACCTGAGAATATTACTATCAGCTCACACAACCACCGTAAGAGCAGCACTGAAAACAAGTAACAGCACTGAGAGAAGACTGGAGGTGGAGCCACACAACTATGAACGATCCTATCAGCCGAGGAACTGATGTGAGGATTGCCGGCACAAGGGTCTGGGGCTCCCCCTTTCCTTTTCCAGGGACGGGGGGAGCTGCGCAGACATGTGGCGCGGCTCGTGTGACATCATGCTTGTTTGCTCATTTTTCCTTTCGGGAGTTCTGTCCACTCATTTGATGATTTTTGTTGTTAACCAGAATAGGGGTTTGTTTTGTGGCGCTTACCTTTCCGGGTGCCCGTCCCGGTCGATGGCAGATATAGAATGCTCCAAATCACATGTGCATTTCTATGGGCCATTGCTCCTCATGCCTCTGCGAGGGGGGGGCCCAGGTTCTGGCTCGTGTTTCCAATAGGTCTAGAACTCCACCCACATCGACTGATGCAAAATAGTTAGGATATCAGCCATGGATAGCTACGGGGAGCCATAGGGGCTCCCCCCAGAAAAGAACATTATATATATATTTTGTTTTGTACATCTAAAGGATATCTTAAAAACTGCATTAAAATGTATAGTCATATGTATTCAAATTTGGCACTTGTGAAGAGATAAGTGAAGGGTTCATGAACAATTACCTCCTGCTAATGTATATCCAATGAAGAAATATCTTAACAAGTAATGTTTTTTTATAAAGTAATTTATATGGACTGGCTATGTGACCACATACAACACCCTAAAAAAAACTGCCTTCTGGCACAAAAAGGAGATGTAATCTGAAGTAGTCAACAATTATAATTATGTTAGAGGCAAATAACTTAAGGAAAATAGCATGACATGCATACAAATGCATGTAGGCTGTATTACTCCACACTTGCCACACTGGCAAAGTATAGGTCATAACATCACAAATAACATTAACCTTTGCATTGTTCAAGGGGTTACATGAGGCATTTTCTGTATGTAGACAGAAAAATAGTATTCAAAACAAGATTTTTGTCTTCCTATATATTGTTAAAACCATGCACTGAGCATTGGAACAATGTCCCAAAAATGATATCACTTCAAGATGGCAGATGCTTACCGAAGGCTTGAAATACTGATTTAGGAACACCGTATACTGTACCAGTGGAAGTTTCAAATATGGTAAAGTACTCTACCTAAAATATCACATAATATACATAGAAATCATAATAATGTGATATATCAATGAACAAATTCACAAGGCCCTTGATGAGGATTCGAACCTATACGCTGGATGTTCCCAGAAGGCTCTAGTCAACTGTACCACGACACGGATAAGAATTGCAACCTGGGGTGCTACTTCCTCCATGAGGATCCCGAGGCTTCCACTGAAGAACTTAAATGGGGTCTCACACAGTTTCCCCATGCACTCGGGCCCTGTCCACCAAATAGTTCTACCTCTGTGTACTTTAATACACAAAAATCACAATAACCTGATATTGGAGCAGTAGCATTCCAGGTTGCAATTCTTATCCGTGTCGTGGTACAGTTGACTAGAATGTGTCTGGGATCATCCAGTGCATAGGTGCGAATCCTCATCAAGGCCCTTGTGAATTTATCACATGATATGATGTGCACCACCAGCCAAACATCATATTATGATATGCAAACTACTGGTCAAACATCCTATGATGTTATACACACTACTAGTCAAACATTACACTCTATGATGTTATGCACATTACTAGTCAAACATCGTATGATGTTAGGCACACCACCAAACATTGTATGATATGCACACCACCAAACATTGTATGATATGCACACCACCAAACATTGTATGATATGCACACCACCAAACATCGTATGATGTTATGCACACTACTGGTCAAACATTGTATGATGTTATGCACACTACTGGTCAAACATTGTATGATGTTATGCACACTACTGGTCAAACATTGTATGATGTTATGCACACTATTGGTCAAACATTGTATGATGTTATGCACACTACTGGTCAAACATTGTATGATGTTATGCACACTACTGGTCAAACATTGTATGATGTTATGCACACTACTGGTCAAACATCATATGATGTTATGCACACCACCAAACATTGTATGATGTTATGCACACTACTAGTCAAACATCATGTGATGTTATTCACACTACTGGTCAAACATTGTATGATGTTTTGCACACCACCAAACACTGTATGATGTTATGAACAGCACAAAACATTGTATGATGTTATGCACACTACTGGTCAAACATCGTATGATGTTATGCACAGTGCAGATTAAGCAAGTATTATACTTGTAATAATAACATTTTGATTATGAATAAACTCTATTGTTTACTGAATAACGCATTATTGTTACACAGTATAAAACCATTTAACACTCGCCAATACATTTTACAATGGAAGATTGATCTGAGATACATAATGCCATTGTCATTCTTTGTATCATATGTGTCATTCCAGAAATAATCTTGCAAGTTTAAATGTCAAATCATTTTGTCTCTATAATTACTTCACAATTCAGCACCATGTTAAAAATACATGTTAACACTTTGCACTTATGAACAATCATGCAGCAATAATGTACACTTGTTACACTAATTTTATATCAAAGCAATGCATTTTGCCGTCTGCCTCATCAAGCATGGCTGTAACAGCTCACACAACAAGTGGTGTACACCAATGCTATTATTATTCAGACCATTAGGTAATTTTATTTTAATACAAGTATACAACTCTATGATACACAGATATAAAAATCTAATGTCCTGAATAATTAAGATCCAGGTTACTAGTTCAAGATTAACTAGTATTAGTGTAATGTTTTCATCTACATAACAGATCTCATAGTGTCATATACTTATATAGCAGATGTCATTTATATTTCATGTACCGACAGATGTGAGTGTGACAGCAGTCTAAAATTAATTTTCTACTCAGAAGTGTAAAGACTTGTGTTGTAATTCAAGAATATTTCCAATACCTATTTACATTATAAACCAGATGTTAGTTGAGTAACAGCAGTTCATATACAGTATATATATATATACAAAATTAAATACATAAATTACATAAAGTAATAAAGTACATAAAGAGCTTTTTACATAAATTGTTAATGATTCTTTATTATGAACTTTGTAAAATAGATTTCCTATTTACTGAGCTTAATATATTTTTGTATATAGATGAGCATTTATGCACCCATACTATGTTTGACAATAAATAACATGGACTGTATTGAATCTTAAGTACTGTATATATATAATGTACATCTGATGTAAAGTATATAATGGCCCTTATTGCTTGTTATATGTGTATGGTAAAAGCTATATGTATATTGTGTGACATGTTGTGATATTAGTTCTAACATTATCTAGTCATTGATGTAACTTATAAATCCAAGCACATAATTTAAAGTTCAATTTTTAATTATAAAGCCATACAGTCAAGACCACTTCATTCACTGCAAATGAAACCTCAGTAACTGTTGATGAATAACACTTTAATCATGCATACTTATACAAGCCCAGCCAAACCAACTTGAGCCGAGCTTTGTATAATACAGTAATGTATATGTTTATGACTATGAATGAGGAAGACTTAACTGTCTGACTTTATTGTAAAAGTTTAGGTCCAACTGTGCTCACTTGTCCTGCATTATGTATTCAATAATTGTAGATTGTGCACAGTAACATGTTCAGTGTTCACTATGTATACAGTATGTTAATTTAAGTTGCCGAATGGATGTTTCTAGTTACCCTTTATAAGAACAGCTATGGAAGTAATGCCATGAAAATAACATCACTAATAATTGATGATACAATATCATAACTTTCTGAAATCATAAATTCATTTTTTTTTTCTTTCTTAATTTATAACCATACAGTACAGTACTTAGACAGGTATTTTTTTCACCAACATCCCCATCATTCTTTACATTAATAACTAACACTTGAAATACTTCATGATTTGGTATATTGTACATGCCAAGACTACAGTATCTTAAGTAGAAATTTGTACACAGTACTATATTTAATATTTTCCAAATCATTGGCAATTCACAACCTTATTTTGATGACATCACTAGACTTCCATAAATGTCTCCCAAGTGCCCCATGGGTCTCCCAGGAGTCCCACGGGTCTCCCAGGAGCCCCATAGGTCTCTCAGGTGTGCCATGTGCCCCATGGGTCTCCCAGGTGCCCCACGGGTCTCCCAGAAGCCCCACGGCTCTCCCAGGAGCCCCCATGGCTCTCCCAGGAGCCCCCATGGCTCTCCCAGGAGCCCCCATGGCTCTCCCAGGAGCCCCCATGGCTCTCCCAGGAGCCCCCCATGGCTCTCCCAGGAGCCCCCCATGGCTCTCCCAGGAGCCCCCATGGCTCTCACAGGAGCCCCCATGGCTCTCCCAGGAGCCCCCATGGCTCTCCCAGGAGCCCCCACGGGTCTCCCAGGAGCCTCATGGATCTCCCAGAAGCCCCCACGGGTCTCCCAGGAGCCCCACGGATCTCCCAGGAGCCCCACGGATCTCCTAGGAGCCCCACGGATCTCCCAGGAGCCCCACGGATCTCCCAGGAGCCCCACGGATCTCCCAGGAACCCCACAGATCTTTCAGTAGCCCCACAGGTCTCCAAGGTGGGGGAGTGTCAAAGTTCTCCCAGGGGTGCAACAGGTCTCTTAAGGGGGGAGGGGGATGTCAAAGGTCTCCTAGGGGAAGTTGCACAGATCTCCCAGGGGTGCAACAGGTCTTCCAGAAGTATCACAGGTCTACAGGGGGCCACAGGTTTCCTGTGAGGGGCACAGGACTCTTGTGGGGGGCCACAGGTCTCCTGCGGGGGGCCCCTAGGTGTGTCATGGGGGTCACAGGTCTCCCATGGGGAACGGGGAACAGGTCTCCCGTAGGGGTCTACAGGTCTCCAACAAATTAAAACTCATAAATGAACATAATGTAGTAACTAGCTTCTGTAAGTTCTGTAGTAACTAGCTTCTAAAAGTTTCCATTATAGTGGAAACCTGATAGTGGTTGTGAATGTTGGTCCTAGATTCTTGCAGTATAAAAAAATATCTAGAATGACAGAAGTCATAAATAAAACTTTAATATACTGTAGTAGTCTCTGCTTTACCCATTTTCTAGCATCATCCTTGATAAAGCAGGCTTTATACCAAATAATAATTGTAGCCTAACAACAACAACAAAAAAGACTGAAGAATAGCAAATTCATATGGTTTCACCTGTATCAAAGTTATAGCTGAGTATGTGCTCCAATGCAACCCTGATTGCCACCAGAGGCAAGGACAGCGAAGCTGATCAAGCATCACAAACAAGGCCCAGCCAAGTTCGAATCTGGGACAAAACCAAATGGGACTTGCACCAGTTCACCAGGAACTCGAACCCGGTGAACTGAAAAAAGAAACAAATCCCTGGCCAGTATACAAGGGACCAGCTGGGAGCCTACACCAACCAGTTATCTAGGTAGGCTAGAACCCGAACATTAAGAAGACGAAGGCAGGTCATCATGACCTGAGCCAAGTGTGTAAAAATGCAAGGAACCAGATTGATCCTGAATGGGAGGACCTGAGAGCCTGTTGTCCCATAACAAAGCCTAACCAATCCCCCAATCCTTGAACTCTGGATGAATGGGGACGTGCCAGTACACATTCTGGAGGTCCAGGGAAATCATCCAAGTGCCCACCTTAAGAACGAGATGGACCTGGGACAACATGGTCATCTAAAAGGAGGGGCAAGGAATAAACCGGTTCAACCCGGACAAGTCAAGGATGAACCAGAGATACAAATACAAATACAAATATTTATTCAGGTAAAGTACGTACATACAAGGTAAGATACAAAAGTTGATGGATTTATAGATAGAGCTAGTACATACAATACCTAAATCTGGAGATCTGCTTAGATCTGGAGAATCCCACTTCATGACCAGAAAAAGGTGGGAAACCCATCAAAGAGTAGGGGGTCATTTCGACCATCCCCAGAAAAACCCATTCCAGAATGACCTGATGAAGATTAGAAGAGAATGCTTGTCTGGAAAAACCCAACCCCCCAAAGAGAGGACTGATTGACCAACACCACAAGCCACACAAAACGACCCGAAAAGCCTACGACGAATCATGGGACAAACTGGGTGAGCCTTCCCCCACCTTACCTTACCTTGAGGTTACCTTGAGGTGCTTCCGGGGCTTAGCGTCCCCGCGGCCCGGTCGTCGACCAGGCCTCCTGGTTGCCGGACTGATCAACCAGGCTGTTGGACGCGGCTGCTCGCAGCCTGACGTATGAGTCACAGCCTGGTTGATCAGGTATCCTTTGGAGGTGCTTATCCAGTTCTCTCTTGAACACTGTGAGGGGTCGGCCAGTTATGCCCCTTATGTGTAGTGGAAGCGTGTTGAACAGTCTCGGACCTCTGATGTTGATAGAGTTCTCTCTCAGACTACCTGTTGCACCTCTGTTTTTCAACGGGGGTATTATGCACATCCTGCCATGCCTTCTGGTCTCATGTGATGTTATTTCTGTGTGCAGGTTTGGGACCAGCCCCTCTAATATTTTCCACGTGTAAATTATGTACCTCTTCCGCTTGCGCTCAAGGGAGTACAGTTTTAGGCTCTTTAGTCGGTCCCAATAGTTTAGATGTTTTACTGAGTGGATTCTAGCAGTAAAGGATCTCTGCACGCTCTCCAGGTCAGCAATTTCTCCAGCTTTGAAAGGTGCTCTCATTGTGCAGCAGTACTCTACTCTAGAGAGCACAAGCGTTTTGAAAAGTATCATCATCGGTATAGCATCTCTAGTGTGAAAAGTTCTTGTTATCCAACCTGTCATTTTTCTTGCAGTTGTGACGGCTACTTTATTGTGTTCTTTAAAGGTAAGGTCTTCCGACATGAGTACACCCAGGTCCTTTACATTGCCTTTTCGTTCTAGTTATGATTTGCCTGAGTTTTGTACGTGGTTTGCGTTTTTATATTTTCTTTTTTCCATAGCGCATGAGCTGGAACTTATCTTCGTTAAACACCATATTATTTTCTGTAGCCCATAGAAAGACTGATCTACATCTGACTGGAGGTTCGCCGTGTCCTCTATGTTGCCTACTCTCATGAAGATGCTAGTGTCATCTGCAAAGGATGATACAGTGCTATAGGTTGTGTTCTTGTCTATGTCCGATATGAGGATGAGAAAAAGTACTGGAGCAAGCACAGTACCCTGGGGGACTGAGCTCTTCACGGTTGATGGGCTGGATTTTATTTTGTTGACTATTACACATTGGGTTCTGTTGGTCAGGAAATTGTAGATCCATCTGCCTATTTTTCCGGTAATTCCTTTTGAACGCATTTTATGTGCAATAACACCATGGTCACATTTATCAAAAGCTTTTGCGAAATCTGTGTAAATTACATCCGCGTTATGTTTGTCTTCCATAGCATCTAATGCCATATCATAGTGGTCCAGCAACTGCGACAGGCAAGAGCGCCCTGTTCTGAAACCATGTTGTCCGGGGTTATGGAGTTGCTGTGATTCCATGTATTTTGTGATTTTACTTCTTAGCACTCTCAAAAATTTTTATGATGTGCGATGTTAGCGCTATCGGTCTGTAACTCCTTTATGAAGTGGTGCTATCTCTGCTGTTTTTAGTATATCAGAAATAACGCCAGTATCTAGGCTTTGTCTCCACAGAATGTGGAGGGCCTGCGATAGTGGGTTTTTACAGTTCTTTATGAATAAGAACAGTGTTTTTCCCAAAAACGGTGGGTTTTCTGAGTGGAAGAGAACGTATGTCTGGAAGCTGACTTTAACCGCCCCAAGCTGCGCGCGCATTGAGCCGAGGTTATATAAACCTGGACGGAGACGGCGTGGCCGACAATTTGGTCACCACTTGGTCCGGGAGACATCTCCCGTCACGCAGGGTGCAGTTGCGCCTCCACAGATCTCCAGTATCATCTTTTGATACTGGTAATGGCTCGAAAGGGCCACCACTTACGGGCTATTCATGCCCGTGCCACCTCTTGGGTGGCTTAATCTTCATCAATCATCAATCGGCATGGCCCCTATTCCAAGCCAGCAGCTGTGCTTACATAACGATTCACTGCTGCTCAGCGAGTCGTAAACACAGAAGTTTAGCCCGCTCAACTGTTCTCCCAGCAAGGACCCTACACCAGTTCCTATCGACAGCGACTCGGAGCGACCCGTCAGGGGCGTCCTGGCCTTCTCAACATTTAAGGTATTGTTTGTGTTGTTGGCGCGCCGGACCAGTGTTTGTCTCTGTTGGCGCGCGCGCCCCTGAAGCACGCCTGTTGGTTCAGCCTTGGTGACCAAATGTAGGTGCAGTGGTCCTAGAGGGGGAGGTGACCCTCGGTGTTATGGGGCACTGGTTTTTCTCCAGTAGGTGGCTGTTATTTGAAGCACAATCGGGAGGCCTGTCCTCCACCCCACCTCCCCCAACTGCTCAGCCCTGTCCCTTAAGCTCCCTGATATGAGGTATGCTGCTTGGGCGACTTCTGTTGTGCCGTTATTTATTATTTACGTTCTTTATATAAGTCCTTCTTTAGTCTGACTGTTAGTCATGGCGTGCTCCCTCACGCTACATTATTTACTGTAATTTTACCTTGGCTTTCGCCCCATGCCTATATTTATATATTGGGTAGTGCTGTTATTGTTGTTCCAGGACATTTAATGCTCAAGCCAGCTCCTATTTAGCCCTGTTGCTTTACCCTACTCTAATTGCTGGCTATATAAAATATTATATTATTGTCTTTCAGTTACAATGTGTTATGCCTCACAATTTATTTATTAATGAATTTAATGGTGTCAAGCTGCAGGTTTTTACATTTAGAGTTTGTTTTAACTTTTGCTTATTGCCTATAAGTTATTAGGTAAAGTCAGCTAGGTTAGGCTAGCTGCCGAGTCTCAGGCCTCTGGCCCCTAGCTTTAAGTTTTCATGGACTAGTATTTTCCATAAGTTTCCTTAACTTATTAATGAATTTAATGCAGTGTCAAGCTTCATGTTTCTTTTGCAGGTTTTACATTTAGGTTTGTTTAACTTTTGCTTATTGCCTTTGTTATTAGGTAAAGTTAGCTAGGTTAGGCTAGCTGCTGTGCCACAGGCCTCCGGCCTCTAGCTTTAATTTTTCTTGGACTTGTGTTTTTCCATAAGTTTCCTTAACTTATTAATGAATTTAATGCAGTGTCAAGCTTCATGTTTTCTTTTGCAGGTTTTACACTTAGGTTTGTTTAACTTTTGCTTATTGCCTATAAGTTATTAGGTAAAGTCAGCTAGGTTAGGCTAGCTGTAGTGTCTCAGGCCTCTGGCCCCTAGCTTTGTTTCATGGACTTGTTTTTCCATAACTCTCCTTAATTTATTAATGAATTTTATGCAGTGTCAAGCTGCATGTTTTCTTTAGCTGGTTTTACATTTATGTTTGTTTAACTTTTGCTTATTGCCTATAAGTTATTAGGTAAAGTCAGCTAGGTTAGGCTAGCTGCTGTGTCACAGGCCTCTGGCCCCTAGCTTTAAGTTTTATGGACTTGTTTTCC